ACCAGATATTTTTTTTTTTTAAACCGATTGGATGGATGAGACTCCACTTATATTGTGTTAGATCCCAGACGAAACGCGCAAAACTGTCGTCGTCTTCCTCCTTTTATTATAATATCCCTCTCTTCTCTATCTTTTTTCTTTCTGATAGCACCAGTATTCAAATTGCTTCAATATGAAATGACACAATATTTGAATTAAAATATCTCCTAAACTCCAATGATTTTCTAATATTAGTAATAGATTTTGTATAAGGAAGTAAACATTTATAATTTATTTCTAAAATAAATTCTTATGATAATAATATGTATTTGCTTATGTTACTTATATAAATATATATAAGCAAGTATATATCGTCAGCGTAAGAATTTATTTAAAAAATAAAATCAGGCTTAAAAGAGAATTAATTTTTAGTATGAATATAAATTTTATTATACATAGAAAACTTCAGAATTTTAACATATTAAGTGATAAGAATTAAATTTATTCTGCAAATATTTAAGATAACTTTGTTTCTTATGAATAAGCTGTTATAAATTCTGTATAAATATAGGAGCAATATTTTTCAAATTATTTTATCTTTTAGTATTAAAAAATATACGTATAAGAAATTAGATTATTATCCCACTAAGTAACTAACTGAATGATATTTATTACTTATCAGTTCATTTGTTTATTGGAAATATATCAGTATGATTATACTCTATTTAAGATCAGTGTAAAATATATTTCTATGATAAAATGGTTGAGTCAATAGTAGAAAAAGATCTTTTGGGAATAGCAGCAGCACACAATGGCTTAATTGTATTAAAAAATTGCCAGGCAATCTTACGTAGAGATTATACTAATATGATAGGCAAGGTAAATATTTTCTTATGTCTAAAGATACCTGCTAATTGCGGATTATTATACTACAATAGGTTAAGTTAGTATCCGGAAGCAGCGGGAAAAGTGAATTACCTTGTTCAGAGTTTGTGGGCCCAGGTATGTTAACAGCTGCAGTTTTAGGAAATACTTTTTCTGCTCCCCGAAAAAATAATATCTTAAAAGTTATTGAAGAAATTGGATCAAACGATTCTTCTGGTACTGTAATTCATTATTTACTAAGAAATTTTATAAATCAACTATTGATTACAAATTTGATGTCGTAAAACATTTATTTGCAGGAATATTACTAATAGTACCTGATTATGATGCATATCCTATAAATTTTACTTGGGCCAAATTATGTGCAGTTGAGAAAGGGTATAATGTCAAAATTATTTTAGTAACTACAAAGTGGGAATCTGTTACAGAAGAACAAAGTTTTTTGTGTACACATTTTTTATATAAAATAGCTGGAGCTATGTCAGAAGAAGGAAAACATATAGATCAAATATATTTCTTTTGTAATCACCTTATAAATAGTGGGCAGCTTCATCTTCTAAAAACAAGTACCTAGATTTGGAAAAAAATTAAATCATCTTAGACTAGGATATATAAATGATTTACTTATATTTTATAGAGTATGAAATGAAATTTCTAAAAAATATGATATGCAACTATTTTTAGATACAGCTGAGCATATATTTGATCCCTTAATAAATACCTTAAATATAATGCCGCAAGATAAATATAACAAAAATTCATATGATAGAAACAGATTTCATACTGATCAAGAGGTTGCGATTATAATAAACAACATTGGTAATAGGAAACACTGAAACATATATACATTACAGTCATTTTAAATGACTTATTTATTTACATGGATTATAGTTTCAAAATTCCTTAATGTTTTAGGTTCTACACATTCAGAAATGTACACATTTATTTTGGACATTTTGAAGCAGATGGAAATGCATAGTTTACAAGCAAAAAGAATATACATAAAATCACTGTTAACAAGCTCTAATATTAAGTATTTCAATATGTGTGTTTTAAATTTGTCACTTTCCACAATATTAATTAAATGTCTAGATTTTCCTACATCTGCACCTGGTTGGCCAAAAATATTAACTTCAGATATGTTAGGAATGATGGAGGTAACAAATTGTATAAAATTAAGTTGTAATAATATTATATAAAATATTATTAAGATAATAATAATTTTTAGGATGGTAAATTAAATTTATGTACATCTGGTAAATATTGTCAGGTAATTGAATCTTATTTACTGAATAATATTATTTTAATCAAGTAAATGTATTTTAATAAAGTATTTTAATAACTACTCTAGAATGATAACACAGAGAATATCAATTTACAAGGACCACTGATGAGGCATGAAAGTGGTAAAAAATTGTTATCAATTATATCAACTGCATGTGAAGCAACAGTAGCATGCACAAATCAGTTAAACAAATTAGATCAAGAATGTGGGAAGGGAGATTATGGTACAAATCTTGCATATGGAGCTCAAGCTATAAATAATGCTATTCAGGTAATACAGAATAATTTATTAAGCAAGAAGTAATATTATTAATACTATTAATAAAGCAAATTTTATAGGACAATAAAATATTCAGCGTGAATCCATGCGTAACATTTATGCAAATTAGTCACATCATTGAAAAGTCAGTGGATGGTATACAAGGAACACTTTATTCTTTATTTTTTAATAATATTTCCAAAGTAAGATGTGTTATAAGTATTATAAATATATACTATTATTTTAAAAGTTTTATATTTTTAGGCATTTTCAAAATATGAGTCTGATGAACAAATTACAGTTGATATGTGGTCAAATATATTGATTACTGCAAATAGGGGAATAATAGAACTTGGTGTACCCCATATAGATGATCAAATTTTAGTGGCTGTTTTAATAAATGTACAGTTTCATTTCACAAAGGCATTAAACGATAATAGAGATCCCATGACTGCATTTGGTATGGCTGTAAAAGCTGCCGAGAATTTTTCTATAAATAATGTAAGTACAATTTCTAACAAATGTAATACTATATAAATTGTAACATTTTCATTTTTTCACATTTATCCGTTTCTATCAATTTTCACCACAAATTTTAATTTATGCACAAAGATAATATTTTTTATTTATTATCTGAAAGATTTATTTAGAATATATTACAGAAATTGAAATATCCTTGTCCTGAAGCACATGCAGTAGGCATATGGATGAGAGGTGCATATGAATGTACTAAGTTAAAATTAATAAACCATAATTTTGTAAGTAAATTATCATAAATGTTTTCAATGAAAAATTCAATAAAAATAATAATTATTTTACATGCATTAGTAACATATTTTGAATGAGCATTGTGACACTGGTATTCAATACAATTGGATTTCTGCTCCTGTTGTCGCTTTTCGCGTATGCTGATAAGCAGTAAGAAGAATAACTTTTTAATTACGAAAAATACATAACAATTGAACGATAATAATTCTGCTTTGAAAAATTATTAACCCTTAGTACTCCAGATGGTTTTGTAATTTATCAGCAACTGCAACTAATTTTTATGGTATCTCTAGTATAAATGAAAAATGCTGTAATATTCCTTCGATCTTTTATGTTCCTTCTCAGTACAAAATTTTGATGTGTGAAAAATCTAATAATTTTGGGGTAGTTTCTTTGATTCGTTAAAATATTTGATATTATAACTGGTGCAATATTGGAGCCCACAAGAGTTCAAAGGGTTAAAATCTTTGTAAAATTTTGCAACACCTTTGATCAACCTGTGGACGAAATATTACTGATCAGTATCCTAATATATGTATATATACTCCACAATGCTATCATTTGTGTATGATTCTAATAATGCATTTTAATTCCAGTTCTTGTAAAGTATTGTATTGGAGGTGTAACAAATAATTTTAAACGCGACTTGAAAATGTACGTTAGTTAAGAATATAAATTTATTTAAATATAAACCATTTATATTTAAAACCATGTATTAATAACTTAAAAATGTTAATATATGTAAGTACTACATGACATAAATTTATAAAATACTAATATGTAGCTCCGCGCGTTTGGGAATTTGAAAACATGGCAACATTGCAACGGATACATTTGTATGCTGGTTTACCATATTTACTATTTGGTCAAATTCGATCATTTTGCTTGATGTAGTTTTCCTATTCGCCGTTCGCTAGGTGTAGAGGGCAGAGCAAAACCTCTGATTTTTTTACACAGTCGGTAATTCAGAACATGTGACACGAGTCCGTAAGCTGTAATGTCTATCCATATAGGTAAATAGGCACCTCGTCTGTGGTAATATACTTCAAAGTGTAGACCGAGGATAAGACAAGATCCCACCTTCACGTTCGGAATCGTGGTTTCAAACGTTAAACACGTCTATAAGAAAAAAATCGACGGACATTTTAATCGTGTTATGCGATGTGGTTTGTGATTGTATTTATTATCCTGTGTGAATGCGTATTTTTCGTTTTATATTTATAGGAGGTCGTGGAAATTAAATGTATTATGTGAACACACTTCATTGGAACAAAAGTATAAACGTGTGAACGTATATAATAGCCATGTATAAAAGAGACAATCATGTCACGTGCTCTTGACTTGTCTTCGTTCTTGTCTTATCACGTGAAAAAGCTAAAAAAAAAGTTATATGTTCTGTTTTAAAAACGTGAACTGCAAACAGTTCATTAATAAAGTTAAATTGTGTTGTTGCATCCGTTGTATCCTACAACTAATACTATAAACGAAGGTTAGGTTCAAAATTTTAATCCTAACTCTCATAATGGTTCTTGCCTGTATAAAAAGATTTCGATATTGCAATTAAATATTAAGGCTGTATTAAAATGATATTATATGTGGAGCAATTATATTTATAATACATATATAAGAAAATGAATGCTGTGATCGCATTATGTATTTTTTGTGAATCACACGGACCTAAAGTGATATTCACTACTCAAACATATCGAAATTATGATAATCAAAATATAGAGAAATTAAAATTTTATGGGCCTAAAGAAATATTAAGACGTGGTCAAAACATATTGGAAGATGGACAATATGAATGCGAAGGATGTCAAAGTATTGGTAATGTGAAGTACTTGAGTAATGAACATGAAACTAAAACATCATTCCTTTCTGCTCAACAGTCATTAACTCAGGATATTTGGTGCTTATTAAAACATGCATGTTTTAGGTACAGTAATTGGAATTTTGTTTATTATATATTTTTTTTTATACTTATACATTCATAAGCACAAGTCATATTTTAGTTTTTTCAATTTATTTAAGGAGTTTAAGTTGCGAAGTACATCCTGGAAGAGAAGGTGTTTGCTATTTTGGGGATGAATACAGGGGGCATGTTTTAAGTCATACGTTTACGTTAAAAGATGCCCAGGTGAATTATGCAACGAAAAAGCATGTTTGGTAGCTATTACAACAAATTATTCAAATGACCTCAATAACAATAAGTTTAAAATTTAGAAATAAATTAAAGAGAGATTTCATCAATACAAAACAGTTTCCATATTTTTTATAGGCAAGAGGTTTCAGAAGGTGGTGCAGTTTCATTGTTTTCATGAGAGATAAACAGTTTCTTTTAAACATGTGGCCCTTCTTAGTTGACAACTTAAAGGAAGTAATTAGAGAATTACAAGACTTTGCAGAAAAAAAGTACAATGCAGAAGAAGCAGAATGTCCTCAAAGAATAGTTCGTCTTACAACAGTTACTAATGGATCTGGGTCATATAAGAACTCGCATAAACTACCCAGAAGTTTTTATGAAATAACTAATGAAAAACATGTTTTTATAAGGTTTGTTTTATATTAATACGTAATATGCAATAATCTTAATAAATTGCTTATTAATGAACTATAATTAATTCAGGATCCACATGTGGCTGGTATGGATTCTTAGTGCAGGAGCAAGACATTTTATAGAAATTTTTCCTATGAGTTTGTTAGACGATGAATTAAATTACGATTTGGAGCATCAGATTGGTTAGCATCGTAAATCATATTATATATATTCAAAAGAAATATTTATATCTGAATTCATTTTAGTAAAGAAATATTTCTGTTTTTTTTTATTCTTTAGAAACTGAAGAAGGATTTACTTTAGTAAATGCTAAGTTACCAGTAAACTTAAACTTAAACTCAAATGAATCAGAAACAAATTCAGAATTCTCAGAAGTCTCGGAAAAATCTACCACTGTGATACTCAGAGATTTAAGATCCATATTAGGAAAGGACCAATTTAGACAACTTTTATATTCTAGTTTAACAGGTGTTCAAATTTTGGTGAGGGGTCCAAGTATTGAAACACTGGAATCTCTTTATGGACTTAGTTCTCTTATTCCATGTGCATGTCGAAGAGTCAAGACTCAAGCTACAGAATATATGGATCCCAATAAGTGTAACTTTATTGGTATTTACTGATTATTAAAAATTATTTCCTTAAAATTTTATTATTCAAAATAATTTAAAAGCTGTATCATTGATTTCAGGTGTGGACACTTCAGTGGCTGTCCCCTTACCATGCGCTAATGTATGTAGATTAGATATTATATCTGAAGAACACAAGATTGAAAATACAAATTCACACATTGTTAGATGGACGGGCACATTACCATTGAAACTTCCAACGTTATTAACAAAGATTGAAAAATCACTTGATAATGAAAAACTGGGGAACTCTACTTTAAAAGCACATTTTGCAGCGTTACAGGAAGAATGGGCAAAGTATATAACATTTCCAAATGTTACAGACATTTAAAAATATCATTCTTGCATTTTTAGAAATAAACAATTTTGTATTTTTATTGTAATTGTAGCATTGCAAAGGTAATCCACGCTATGCGAGGTCGTGGTCATAGCGAAGATCTTTCTGGACTTATGCTTAGTTTAGGTGCTGGTCCCCACGATAAAAAATTACTAGATGCTTGGTCAATGGGCTTACCACCGAATCCGGCATAATTTTTTAATTAATTGGAAATATACATTGTAGAGTGTTATTTGGGTAACATCATTTAATACAATATGTATTCTCCTATTTGTATTTTTAACTTGTTTTTTCATTATTTATATATTCAAGGTTGTGCAACATTTTTTTATTTATAATATAGTTGAAAAATAAGGATAAAAGTAATGTTAATATAAAAAATAGAATTCTTTTACATACATCACAATAGTCTGGAATAATTTCAGACACATCTTTATAAAATTATATAATATCTATATAATATGTTAATACACTTATACCAAAAATAAAGTTTTATAGTTACTTCAGTCCATTTATTTACAACAATGTAAACTGGTAGAATTTGTTTTAAAACATTATTTTATTAACTTACATTAGTTATCATTTTAAAAAAATTGTGCATTTTTATTATAAACGTGTTTACTTTAACTACTTTATTTCAATAAAAATAAAACTTAGAATTTAAATAAAGTTTTGGAAGGTTACATTTATTCGAATATTGTATTAAATATTCGTCTCTGATATTTCATACTACTTCAATTTATATCACAGTGAATTATAATTTTTAAAATATATATTCATTCAAAAACATTAACCTAATCATACTGTCTGTGATGGAAACTCATTCATCGTCAGTGTATCGTCGTAAATCATTAAAATTAGAAAATTTTGAAAAGTTTAAACTTTGTTCAAAAAGTTTTGAAAAGCAGTATTGTAATATATATAATGCAAGATTAACCGTATTAAGGGACTTACTGTTACAAAAAGCAAGAGACAAATGGGGTAAAGGTTTCTTAAAAAGGTTATATGTATTAATATTTTAGGTTAGATTTTTAATGAATCCTTTATTATAGCCCAGAATGAGATCCTATTTACATTATCTGAACTTTCTGAAAAAGATCAAGATAATGATTACATTGTAATAGGATCATTATACAAACATCAAGAATTGAAACCATCAATATTGCACGAGCTTAGCGAAGAACTTCAATTAACAACTCAATTGCCTAGAACAAATTATGCATCATTTAAAGATGTATTATTTTTGGAAGACAATTCCTTGCGTATTAAATTGGTCGGCAATCACATGAATATTCAAAATGTAGTTACCGGCATTATTTGTGCTGTACTTGGACATCAGTTAGAAAATGGTGCATTTTATGTAAATATCAATGTTATTATATTATAAACAATTCATAAAAATTTATATTATAAATAAAATGAAACTTGAATGCTACTTTTGTGCATATTACTACTATAATTCAGATTATTATCAATATATAAAATATATTAATCACAGGTGACAGATTGGTGTTACCCGGGATGTATTCCAAAGCTAACGACAATTAGTAAACCATTAGATAAATTTGGAAAAATCTTAATAATATCGGGTTTAGATTTAGCAAATAATACACAATCATTGAGTCTAAACTTATTTTCTGAATGGATAACTGGAATGATTGGTTGTAATGAGGTTCAAAAGGAAGTGGCATCTATAGCATGTATTATTATAGCAGGTATTGATATTTACTAATTCATATAAAACATTTCTACAAAATAAGTAATAAAATTATTTTAGGAAATAGTATAAGAGGATCTATAGAAATGTACAATCATAAAGGATATTTTGAAACTAAAACACATGATGAAACTATCTTTAAAGAGGCTACAGCAATAGCTCATAAACTTGACAAGTTTCTTTTTTCTATAGCACAATGTTGTCCCATAATATTAATGCCTGGTGAATTTGACCCATCTTGTCATGCAATACCTCAACAAGCATTTCATCCTTGCATATTACCTCAAACTTCTAGGTATTATTATATGTTTCTTTTATATTATAGTGTAGTATATTTGAAATTTTCGTTACACAGATTGAAGAGTTTCTATGCAGTTACTAATCCATGGATTGGTAGTATTAACTCGCGCATAATAGCTGGATCCAGTGGTCAGCCTATTTCGGACATTATGAAGGTTGCTGGACTAGCTAATGCTTCACCATTGTCATGGTTAGAATGTACATTAATTTGGAGTCATTATGCACCAACTGCTCCAGATACTGTACCTGCTTATCCATATTCTCAGATTGATCCATTTGTTATGACAGAATTTCCTGACATTTATTTTGTTGGTAATATGGATAAATATGACACTAAATTAGTAGCAGGTAAGAATATTTTTAAGTCGTTTTTATTTTTTCATTGTGACAAACAGGGGCGTGCCAAAAGTATTTGCTATCTAGGTGCAACATTTTATTGACTTCTCCTTATAAAATTGGAAAACATCATTGTGATCTTTCAATAACGCTCCATAAAATAAATATTAGATATTTGATTTTTCGCCGTTCGGGTGCGGTGCAACCTTTGCACTCTCGGATTGGCACGCCCCTGGTGACAAAGAAAATGATGTATATTAATTATTAATAGTATAAAAAATGAAGTAGAGTATTCATTTATAGCAAATGAAAGAAATACAAGATTGATTTGCATCCCAAAATTTTCCGAAACACAAACAGCTGTGTTAATTGACCTGCAGGATTTAAGAACTTGGCCCGTTTCCTTTGGCGTTTGTTAATTTAATATATTTTTAAATTTGACATGAAATGTTAACATGATCTGCAATAATGAATTGCAAAAATATGTAATAATTAAAATATTCCTTTATATAATTGTAATATAGTTTTTACATAGTAAATATATTATTTATTTTACCGAATAATGTATTTATGTTTCTAAATCATATTTACATGCGCAGGTAGACTTTTCTTAATAAGACTATGTTGCTTACATGTGATGTGCACGGGAGCTCTTGCCTGAAACTGGCTAAGAGCCAATTTTTTTTAAGATAAAAATATTTTG